CCAGAAAGCCTTCCTCCTCTTCTTTGTACAACTACCATTAGTAGGACCAAAGAGGCTTTGAACATCTGGTGGATGAATCCATTTGCAACCAAACAAAGATAGGAACCATTCCCAAATTGAAGAAACAAAAGGACAGGAAATTAATAAGTGAGCATGGCACTCACCATCAACTTTACAAAGAACACATCAGTTAGGAGATAAGCACCAAAAAGGCTTCTTTCTTTGAAGGAGGTCACTAGTGTTAATCCTTCCCAAGAAGGCTTCCCAACAGAAAGCCCCAATTCTAGGTGGAATCGGTTTACTCCGTACTTCTTTAACTAGAAAGGTTTGCCCAACACTATTGGCAGGCTCTATTAAAGCTTTGAAGAAGGAAGCATGGGAAAATATACTACAAGATGAAGGGATCCAAATACGTGAATCCAACTTTGAAGGGCCCAAGCAAACCCCTTATAAGATATGAAGAAGGGACAAAAGGCTGTTCAGATCTGAATATCTAGTTCCCCTTCTGGAACCCAAAACCCACTCAACCTCAAGACCCTCAACAAGAGATGAAAGGAAGGTGGAAACTGGTTCATTTTTGTAATTAGACAGGGCAAAGAGAGAGGGAAAGCAGGCTTTCAAGGGTAAATCTCCCACCCACAAGTGATCCCAGAATTTTACTAAGTTCCCAAAGCAAAGATTATACTTGATAAAAAGGAAGGTAGAATAGCATGTATCGACTTCCAAGGAGAAGCATTGGTAGCTCGAGCCAACACTCCCGCATCCCAACCTTCAGCTGTCAACCCATGAATACTCAAAATCACCTTGGCCCATAATCTATCCTTCTCTATTGGTAGCCTCCACAACTACTTCCCTAATAGAGCCGTATTTCTTTTTTGAAGATTGCCAATTTCTAAGCCTCCAAAGTTCATGCCTTTAGTTAGTGTTGTCACTATTCAATACTTCTAAATGGTATGGTGGTGGATTTCTTTGAAGTAGGGCGTGGAACTAAGCAGTATGACCCCTTATCCCCTTTCTTATTCACCCTAGTTGCAGATGTCTTGAGTAGAATAGTCCTAAAGGCAGATTCAAATTTTCTTGTGAGAGATTGGGGAGTGGAAATGAATAGAGTGCTTCTGACTCGCTTGCAATTTGCAGATGACACTATCCTCTTTTGTGAATGTGATAATTTGTCCTAGATTAGAAACCTGAAGTTGACTCTAATTTAAAAGTAAACTATGAGAAGAGTTGTATTGTAGGGATCAACTTGGAGGATAGGGATTTAGAACTTTGTGCTGGAATTTGGGGGTGTTATGTGTCTTAGTGGCCTATAAAGAACCTAGGACTACCTCTAGTGGCTAACCGAAAGGACCACGGTTTTGGGCTCCAATGATAGAGTTCTCTAAAAAGCTTGCATGTTGGAGAAAGGGTATACCTATTTAGGACGCTGAATTACTTTGATTTGTGGAAACTCTATAACTTGATGTATCTTATTAGTATAGTCTCTGTTGTATATTACTTATACATCTTATTCTTCTTTTCTCTTTCAGCCCTATATGGGCATTCTTGTAATTGTACATATATTTTAATATATAAAAAACTCTTTGAGGTGGGAGTCATTCATTCTTGACACCTCTAAGATTATCCTTGTTCTTTTCTATATTCAACCAAGAGTATTGACAAAGAGTGTTGACATGATTAAATCCACTCTAGCTAACCTCCCCGTGTACTACTTGTTTGTGTTTAAAGCCCCTGAGGGTGTGATAAGAGAGCCCAGATTTCCCACTCACTTTTCCTAAGAGATGTGTGGCTCCAATTCACGACGGGTAGAGAGTGGGTTGGAAAAGTGAGTAGGAAATACCGAGTGGTGATAAGATGCATTGAGAAATTAATGAGAGTTTATTTTGCGGGAGCCTAGTGAAGAAAGGAGAGATCATAGCTTTTGCTGGGAGGTAGTTTGTAGAAGCAAGGAGTTTGGGGGAAGTGGTGGTGAGTATACTCTATACATGGACTCTTGGACAATGGTTGGGATACTGGATCATTGCCAAGGGCTACCAGAGCTTCTCCGTGGAAAGCAATACACACCATCCTTCCCTTCTTTTTACCCCTTATAAGGTATGATCTGAACTTCGGTAATCACATTAAATTTTGGGAGCAGACTTGGTGTGGGAACTTACCTGAAGGACCGTTTCCACTCTTTGTTTGCCTTATCTTGCCTTAAGAATGAGTTTACTCAAGCTTCTTGGTTCCTTCAAACTCCACAAACAGCTTTGATTGGGACCTTGGCTTTAGAAGGGGCTTAAGGGATTTTGAACTTGAGCGTCATTTCTTTGCTCAACCTCCTAGAAGAAGCGTCTTTTTTTACCTTTCCAAACTGGATGGTAGATTTTGGATCCTCACCCCTTAAGGGTCTTTTTCTTGTGCTTCTTTCTTGAAATCCCTTACCCAACTTTCTCCAAACTCCTTGTTACCTTTTCCTGTTAGGGAGGTTTGGTGCAAGGCCATCCCACCAAGGGCTGTGGCTTTTTGTGGGGAAATTATACATGGGAGAACAAATACTTTTGACTGGCTCCAACGAAAAAGGAAAAAGTGGTGCTTATCTCCTCATTGGTGCACTCTACGCAAGGCTAATGGTGAGAGCTGCTTTCATTTATTTATTACCTGCCCATTTGTTGTAGGAATTTGGGAATGGTTTTCCTCTTTGTTTGGATGCAGGTGGGCTCCACCGGTAGATGTTAAAGGGCTCTTAGCTTCATCGGCCTTTCCTGGGCCAACAAAAAAACAAAAAAGGGAAAACTCATGTGGAAGTGTGGCAGGGCTGCAACATGTTGGACAGTATGGGAAGAGAGGAATTCTAGGATCTTTAAAGACAAGGAAAAAAGGAAGATTTATTGCTAGTTATTCTGATCAGACTGGCTTATTGGCTAAAATCTGTGGAAGCATTCTCAGTTGTGTCCATTCTTTAGAAATTGGAAGGGGTAGCAGATTCTTCTTCTCAGAACCAAGCGATCAGCCCTGTTTGGTCTCCAACAGAAAGAGGTTTCATTAAACTAAATTTTGATGGAAGTAGCTTTTAGGCAATCCTGGGCTGTCTGGAATTGGAGGGGTCTTTAGGGATGAGGAAGGTAAGGTTATTGCTTTATTCTCAGGCCTAGCTGGGGAGAGAGACTCTTTAAGGGCAAAAGTGATGGCTATGATGGAAGGGGGGTACAAAGGGCAGGATCTATGAACTTGTGGAAGCTAATTATGGAAGGGGACTCCATACTGGTTGTGAACTGGCTGTGGATAGAGGATGCTGGGATGTGGAGATACAAGAATAAAAAGAATAAATTTTGATGGATTACCAGGAATATGGATCTAAAGAAGATACATCGGGTGAAAAGAACTGCAAATTCTATGGCTGATTCACTAGCCAAACAAGGGGTAGGGAGAAATCAGTTGCATGGTTTTTAAAAACGAACCGGTGACCGAACCGGTCAGGGGTCCGGTTACCGGTTCGAACAGTCCGACCGTTCGACCCAAACGACCGGTCTGTTCTGACAAAAAAATAAAAAAATTAAAAAAAAATAAAAAAATTGGAAAACGGTCAAAACTGTTCAAACGGTTAATTGGCTGGTTCAGCGGTTTGCTGACCAAACTCAACGGTTTTGGGGGAAAATGGATCCGGTCAGTTGACCGGTTCCCAGTTTTTCCGGTCTGGTCCGGTCTTGAAAACCATGATCAGTTGTTCTGGGCACAGTTATAATTGTAATTTCACTGTACTTGGAGGGAGAGATAAGAGAGCTTATCTCTCAGTATTCTTTGTGTTGTTCTCTTTTTCTTTTTATTTATTAAAAGTTACAGTTATTGATAAAAAAATCTGGCAGTCTGCTGCTAACTTAGTTTTTTTTTCGTCTGGACAGTAGCTTTGGAGAAGTGTCTGACCTGTGATAAGTTGCTAATCAGGGAAATGCTTGTAGATCATGTGGTCTGTGTATATTATTCCTTGGTGTTGGAGGTTGTGAATCTGTTTGGCAAGTCTTTCAAAGTAGATCTTTTGACAGCCCAGCAGACTAACAAGTGTACTGAGCTTTTGGGTGCTCATCTTCCAGTTTGTCCTTAGAAATGGTTTAGAAGGTTGTTTGGTAAGTTTCTTGGTCTACATGGCTGTTGGAAGCAGTTTCAGCTATTTCGGTCTTTCTGGGTGCTCATCTTCCAGTCTTTCCCTCTTTTAATTGCCAAACAAAGAAAGACCAAATTTTGGTCTTTTAAGCTTTGAAAATCCTGAAAGACCCCATGGAAAGACTTGCCAAACACTATTATTTTTTCACTGTCCATTAACAACCAAAGCATGGAGTACGGAGCATAGTCCACGACAAGTTTGGGTTGGTGGGATGTTTTCCTCTATCCATCCAGTTGTTTCTGAGAAGCTGGCATATTGGGGGTCTTGAGTAAAAGGGGGTAGAATTGTGTGGGGGGTGACTTCCCATGGTTGTTATTTGGTGCATGTGGGGTGAAATGCTCAGATTTTTGAGAACAACAGCTGCAATGATCAAGTGATATTGGGAAGAATCAAGGGAAATCTATGCTCCTGGCTGTCAGTGCGAAAGGAATTCAGAGATTTGGATTACAATAGTTTTTTCTTCTCTCTCTTTTTTCGCTAGGGATATATTGTTTTCTTGTTCATGTTTTCATGACTACAAGAGTTTGGCAAAAGTTTTGATGCTGGCTGCCAACCTGACACTACCTTCCTCCTTTATCTAGGCTTGGGACCAGCAGTGCAAGACAAGCTCACACTGGGAGAGTTTATGGTTGGGATAAGTCTTAGGTTATGATGCTGATGATAATGATATTGTTTTCTTGTTAATTGCTTGCTAACATAAATACTGTATAGTCATAAAACAACATAGCTGTTCATGGTTTTCAGGTTTTGTCCTTATCATTATGCACCATTTGACTGGGTGGGGCATGGTGGGTAATAAGATTGATCTTTGTGTCATATCTAGATTCTCTTTAATGTTTATCTCTTCATTGGTTTTCAGGTTTTATCCTTATCATTATGCACCATTTGCTTCTGATCTCAAGGATCTTGGTCAGTTGGAGATAAGGTTCACATTAGGTGCCCCCTTCAAACCATTTAATCAGCTGATGGGGGTTTTTCCAGCTGCAAGGTTGAATAACATCCTTTCAATTTTAATAAATTTTATATTTTTGGTGAGTACTTCATTTATTTTATTTCTTTCTTTTGATGACTTTCTGATTGTTCTGATCTTGCTGTAGTTCCCATGCACTTCCCGAGCAGTATAGGAAATTGATGACAGACCTAAATTCACCTATTATTGATTTTTATCCCATCGGTATGCTTTGTTTATTTATCAACATCTATTCAACTTAAGATGTGCTACATGTAAATTTTAACCTTTTTTAACTGATTATGTTGGTTAGATTTCGAAGTGGACATGAATGGAAAGCGATACTCTTGGCAGGTTGGACATTCTCTCCCCAATTATATTATTTGTTTCTGTATTGTAGATATGAACGCTTACAATAACAAATGTTTACCCAAGCTGAACTCCTAGACATATTTTTACCATTACTTTATATGTTTTGCAGGGTATTGCCAAATTGCCTTTTATTGATGAAGATCGGCTTCTTGCTGAGATAAAAAAAGTTGAAAATACTTTGACGGTATGGTACTTAAGTTGAGAAACCTCTTATTTTCCACTTTGTGCAATAAAAAATTATATAGTTTCAAATGGACTGTGACATGTGCATGCTTGCTTCTATAGGAAGAGGAAGTGCGAAGAAACAGTATGATGCATGACATGCTTTTCGTTACTTCATCTCATCCTCTCTCTCCATACATATTTTCTCTTGATGATCGCTGTAGACAATTGTCAGATGAAGAGCGTTTTGAAATTAAAGAAAAACTTGATCCCAGAGCTAGGTTGGTAATTTAAAGCTATTCCTGTTTATGAATTAACTCTTTCTTATGTTGGCTGTAGGTGACCAATTATTCTTTTTAGTTGCTTTTGTTGTTGTCATTGTCATGCCTTCCTCAGAACCTGTTTCAATGACAGACAAAAATAAACTGTTGCCGTTGCTCTCCTTGTTACCCCCAATACATCCCCTTGCTGGCTGTCAATAATTCTTCAAATTATTCTTCACCCCTCTTTATATGGTGCTCCAAATTAGTCTTCCCCTTTCTGCTACACCCCTCTTTATACTATCCGTGGGTAGTCTACTGAAGTGCTTTAGGAAAGCAACTTGATGTTGAATTTGTGCAGAAAGTCTTCCAAATTAATCTTCCCCTGCTGTCAAAGTACATAACAGTTTTAGGTTGACAGGGAAGATAGTCCTGTTATTTTTCATTTTTCTTTTACCAATGTAAAATGAGTTGACCATTTTAATTATTTATGATGCCTGTGATGGGTGATTATAATTATGAATTTGGCAAGCATTTTTTTTTTTTTGGTTGGGGAGAGGTCCCAAAGTGAGAAAAATTAGTAAGTTTAGGAGGGGCTAGCCTGGTTGAAGGGTGCTTGAAACATCTTAGTATATGATTCTTTTTTCAGACAATAATAGAATTCTGATATTAACTGATAAAAAAAATTATGAATTTGCAAAGCTTGGTGCCTTCGACCTGTATCAATGATATATCTGCCATTTTATTATGGGAATTTCTTTTAGTCAAATGGTTTCATGAGAATGTCCATTATTTAGCTCTTGAATAACAAAAAGGACCTGTAGACTGTAGTACCCAATAATTATCAGGTATTTGCACAAAAATCCCTGTTTTTGCATTTTGTCCATTTTTGGTTTTAGGCAGGCTGACTGTAGCAAGATTGTTTTTTTTATTTGGTTGATTTATACAAGCTAAAATCAACTTCGCTTTGTTACTTAAAAGTTAAAACCTGTAACTTGGTTGGTGTGGGTTGGCCAATTCAGTTGGGATGACAGAGTATCCCCACCAGTAGTGAGTGTCATTGACCTTGATTCAAGTTCAGTTAACCTGTGTGAATGGAAAGATTGCCAGTCCTGACTGTTCAACTGGCTTTTGCAAGTTCGTAGTTCTCACTGTTAGTCTTACTCCAGCATTGGTCCTTGTTATCACTGTTCATACATCATTAGATTCTCAATGTTTTTTTTTGTTTGTTTTAAGACATATATTTGGATTATATTCTGATTTTATTTTAGGGCTACACGCAGTGGTGGGATGAATGGGTACATATCACTTTGTCGTGGAGATCCTTGTCCTCCTATTTTCCGCTCTCCTGTTACTGGAATGGAAGATATTATGAATAATCAAGTCATGTAAGTGTTTTTTGAAGTCATGATAGTCATCTAGATAATGAAAATTCAAATATATTAGTGATTGCCTTCTCTTTATTCGTTTTCTTTTTCCTTTTTATGCTTTTCAGATGTGCTATATACAGCCTTCCAGATGCACATGAGCATATTACACGACCATTGCCTGGGGTTATATTCCCAAAAAAGGTATATGTTTCCTGTGGATCTCCTCTCCCTTGATAAGAAAGTACCTTTTTTTTCTTTCTAGTTGCTCTATTGTTTGCTTACCTCAAGATTTAGGATAACCACCACTTCAGATTCAGATCTGTATGGGCATTTGGTCTTTGCATTTGCTGATTTAGTACTGTTGTTTGGCACCGGGTTTAAATTATTTCTTTTGTTGGAGTTTGTTAGTGCAAAGATAGTAAATACATCAAAAACTTTGGATGATTCTTTCTTTTTTTTTAATTTACTTAAAATTCATTTTGATCTACTCTCATTATAGATGATAAACCTTACCCTGGTGAATTCAATGACTCCTATGGATTATATTGATAAAGCAAGAAGAACAATATCTAAACTATTGAAATTGATTTAGTTTTTAGAGAGTTGGGTGTAGATGATTGGAACAGCCTTTCCATGGTCAATCTGAAGTGGGATGCCTGAACCAATAATGTGCTATTTTTACTTACAAGTCATTTCATTTTTCCTTGTGTGTAACCTAGTATCTTCTTTGTACGTTCAACTGTTGGCTTAATCTGATCCATCTTTGTTGTCTATTAGATCAATAATCTCGTAAAAGCCAAGGAATTATGCATTTTTCAAGAATAATTTTTATGTATATAGTATACTATGGCTGTGTGCATGAATCCAGTAGCTTCATAGATTTTACAATTTGAATGTGCACCTTCTCTTCTTGTTGCAGACTGTTGCTATAGGAGATGTCAAACCAGCTCCTGTTTTGTGGCATGAAGATAATGGAAGGAGGCCATGGGAAAATAACAGGTACTACACTTGAAATTTTGTACTAGAAATAAAAATTTAAACACAATATAGACTCTCAGGCTGTGCAGGGATATTATATGGAATTTCTGTTATATGCGAGTATAAAAAGAATTTGTGATCTTTCTTCTTTTTCTCTTATGTAATGGTTTTAACCTTTAATTTGCTACCTTTGTTATAAATAAACAACTAAATTGCAGTAATTGCCAAATATTTTCAAGTTAGGGAAAACATTTGCTATTTGAGAATGAGGGAGAACCGGAGTAGAGGGTACAGGGTAGAAATTTTCACCCTAATTAATTAGAATTTTTTGAGTTATTTTAAGTTGGCTGTCAAACTTGGAGAAGTGTTATCTGATGGTTGTGTGCTTTTTGTTTTGGGACTATAGAAATTTGCTTTAGGCGGAGTATTACTATTAATGACTTGATTCACATTTTTTTTTTCTGTTTTTTCAGGAAAAATACACCGGGATCCATTTCTGGTCAACATCTTGGGGAGGCCGCACATCGGCTTGTTATTAACAGCTTACAGTCGAAGATGGAACAGAACGGGGGTCACCACAGATACAATGCACCAACTTATGCTGCAGGTGGTGCATCCCAAAATGGTAGATATCACAATCAGGAATATCACAGAACAGCACCACCTATGGCCGACTACCCTGCTGATAGATATGCTGCTGCCACCACCGTCCAAAGTAGACCAGATCATGGGTACAGGCAGCAGTATGTTTCATCAGCTCCCCAACCCCACCACCAATATGAAAGATGGACAGATCCTCAATATAGAAGTAATTGGAGGCCAGCCCGTGACTACCCACCTGGTCCATTCCAGCATAGTGGGAGGCCTCAGTATCCTCCCAGACCCGTGGTACCTGTACCCCCAGTAGCTGGACCTCCTGTTCATCCTGGGGGTGGTGGATATGGTCACTGGGGTTACCAAGCATATGAAGCTACTGCCCACAATCAATGGGGAGGTGTTCGGGGTGCTCCACCTAATCACGGAGAGGTTATTGGAGGGCATGGTCATCCACAGCCATCAGGCAATCGTTATTCAGCCTTGGATAGGGGAAGTAGGCGGCCACCTTCCTCTGGGTACAACCGCCACTAACTTTATTTGGTTGCATAAATGTTGTACAATAGTTGCAACTTAGAATTTCGGTTTATTTCATTTCATAATTTTAGGTTTGATGTAGTTCCCCCCATTTATTTGGCTGTTTTGTTGTATTCTTAGTTATAAATGCCAGGAACATAGCTGTAATAAAATTGTGAAAGCAATTAAGTAATACATCACCAATTCACCATTTTAAGTGCAGTTCCAATTTCTGATAGCATGGTCGAGATAGAAGCCGTAGCATGTAATTTAATAGGGCCTTGTAAAAGTTGAAGGCATCTTGGCCAATGGCATTAGAGAGGATGACTACCATTGCTTTCTACTGGATATGTTCTCTATCTTTTTATCTTTTGTGTTTATTTATTTATTATTCATGCTATGTGAATGGGTTAGTCGGTGGGGGTCTAGCCCTCCCACAAACCCCAATCCGCTGTTCCCGTCAGAGATGTTTACGAGCAAACTAGCAGGATCCAAGGTTCAAAATATCGGTACTGTTTTTTTTTTTTAATTTTTATTTAGGGTAAATTACAAAAACCCTTCCGTACTATGGGGTCTGTGACAAAGACCCCCTGTACTATGCCCGTGAGACAAAAACCCTTTTCCGTTAACTTTTCGTTGAAATCTGCCGTTATAATATTTTTTAATCCCTATATTGTCCTTGTAATAAGAAAAGCACTGTTCATCTTTTTCGGTTTCATCAGACGTATCATGCGCCCAAACCCCCTGCAAGCAATGGCACATGTGTCGCTGGTGGAATCGGCCCAGCCAAATCAGTTGGCAGGCAGTCATCGGCAAAGGTAAAGAGGTGGATTGAGATGAAGCAGAGACGGTGCTGTTGCAACTTCCGTTGAATCAGTCATTGGAAACGGTAGTAAGCTTTGCCGAGAGAGGGGAAATTGGAAACAGTAGGTCAGTAGCCAATGGTTTCATTTCCAAACGGCGAAGAGAGGAGCAAAAATTCCAAACGTCTCTCACGGTGCTGCTGCAACTTCCAACTGAAACCAGTCATCGGAAACGGTAGCAAGCCTTGCCGAGAGAGGGGAAATCGGAAACGCGAGCCAATGGTTTCGTTTCCAACCGGCGAAAAGCGCAGCAAAAATTCCAAACGTCTCTTATGGTGCTGCTGCAACTTCCGGCTGAAACCAGTCATCGGAAATGGTAGCAAGCTTTGCCAAGAGAGGGGAAATCGGAAATAGTAGCCAATGGTTTCATTTCCAACCGGTGAAGAGAGCAACAAAAATTCCAAATGTCGCCTAAGAGATCCGAACTCCCGTGGGGAAACCCCATGTACCTAGTAGGCACACGCCTTAACCAGTCGGCCAAAGCGACGATCGATTTCAAAGCTAGTATCAATCCAACAAGACTGAAAAACAATACAAAAAAAAAAAAAAACTGTATCGCCTTTTCTGGCTTTCTTTCTGATAGTTTCAGTTTCCGCCGGGCAGAGGATTCACTTTCAAGAATTATTTTTCAGCGCCCCCAATTTGTTCACCAATAAAAATTTCTTACAATTTATATGTTCAGAAGCAAATACTATTTCTGTTCTAACGTTCAAACTAAATGAGAAAGATAAGTGAAAAAACCTCCATTCGTTTTACACAAGTGTGCTCCCTCACTTGAGAATGCTGTCCCCTTTCCCTCTCAAGGGAAAATAATAGGTAATAGGTTTTAAGAGAAAAAGGGCAAAAAAAAAAAAACAAAATGGAAAAAGTTTAATGGGGTATTTTTATAATTTAATGTATTTCATTATCTGACTTAACGGTAAAGGGGGGGGGGGTATTTGTCTCATGGTCATAGTACAGGATGTCTTTGTCGCAAAACAAAGTACAAGGGGGTCTTTGTAATTTACCCTATTATTTATTTTGAAACTGGTATAGGGGGGCTGGTTTAAGGCAGGTCTATTACCGTCTTAACCACTTGCCGACTTGAAACCCCCATGTAGGGGCATATCGGGAAGGCTTTGATCCTTGGCAGGATCGTCGGTTATCTTTCTATAATCCCTGGGATCTACTGATTCCCACGCTATGTAAAAAACTAAGGTCTTGCTTGGTGCATCTTTCCGCATGGGCTGTTGGCAGCCTGCTTTTCAGTCTTCCGTTTTGTTGGAGGAAGATCTTTCCACCGAAAGACCGAGCCCTGAAAAGATGCAAGAAGCTCGATTAGAGCTTATTTTGAGTACTAATGGAGCTTCTTGCCTTTTATTGCCTGTTCAAGTCTTGTCTTTGTGCGGAAAGATGCACTTCCAACCAAATGGTTTGTGGCTGCCAAGATCTTTATGTAAAAGCTCATGCTCCCTGCTGGAAGGCAGTTCGGACATCGGACTGCTACTTGGCTGGGTTGAACTGCAAGGAAGAAGAATTAGAGGTCTTAGTGTACTTTGCTCGATGTGGGTACTTCGATACTTTAGTGTAGGAGATTGTAGAGAGCTGATTGCTAGAGAGTAATAGCAAGTGAGAACTAAATTGTGCATGTCTTATGAGGCTGGATGTGATACCTTTATATAGGCAAACTATCGTGGGCCTCATGAAGCGTGCTCGAGATCACCGGCCTGTCTAACTTGGAGTCCGTTCTGCACCTGAAGATGGACTCCGTGTAAGATGATAAGGCTTATCCAGGTCCGTCTAACTTGGGCGGGATAGAGATAAGTGTTAGACAGTGTATGTCCTTATTTCCTATCAGATTGATGTACTCTTGACATTTATTGTAAATGAATAATAGTACATAATTGATTCATGTTATATCTAGTGTGTTTCTGTGTAATACCCTTAAACTGGACACTTATGAGACTCGTGTTAGTTTAGAATTTTCACAGCCATTGGATAGACCATTGGATAGACCCTTAAACTGGACACTTATGGTTGGGGTGGCTTGTCTCAGCTGCTAAGGTGAGACCTGAAGCACATGTAGTGTGGGTTTGTTTGAAACCCTGAACCGGACCAGTTTCTAGTTATGCCCTAGACCTTGGAGATAGATGGACAAAACTAGAAGGTTACACCTAACCCCTAGACTCGATTATGGTACTGCACTAGGTGTTGGATTGGGCTATCTTTGATATGCCAATCAGTGAGATTCTTAGCAAGGATCAAAACTTGGGTATGTTGGGGCAATCTGAGAATTCACCTAAGTGGGTGATCATAGTGATAGAATCAACCCCTTTGTCGGACAAAGTGGATGATCGAGGACTGCACTCTTTCTGATGGAAACCTAAATTTTCGGTAGTGGATTTCAAATGTGTTTGAAATTTGTTTTGCAAAATATATTTATATATAGATATACATATATTATGTTTTATGAAAAAGGTTTGCAAAGGTTTTAATTCTCGGGATCCATCCTGAGTGGAGAGTGCGACATTGTACCTTGCAGGCGAGGGAGAGGTCCTCTCTTGTCGGGCAGTGTTTGATCATTATGAGCTGAGAGGTTAAGTGTAAGACCATTTAAGGCTTTTACCTGATGGGCTAATCTCACTTAAGTCCATAGTCCTTGGGCTTTCATAAGGTGGCTGGACCCAATGACCATTTAGTGTAAATGTTAGGCCTGCTAAGAGCCCATACTGATGGGCTCAGGGGTTCACTGTGTTCAACAGTGAATTTGGCCAAGCCTTGTAACAAAGGATAGGCTGAACCCATATGGCTTTTGTGGAGATCAATGTTAGGGTCCCACGCCATACAAAGAGAGCCAAGCTAGCCAACAAATTAAAAGGGAAGTGAGCCTGATAACTTAATGGGCCTAAAGCCCAATTTGAACTGAGTTAATGAGATTAATTAAAAGTTGGCGAATTTGAGTTTAGATCTGCTTCTGAATCAGCAAGAGGATAAGATATGTCTTATCCACTTACGAGTTCAGATCCAAATAAAGATTTGGATCAAAGAACTCTTTCCTAATAGGATTAGGAAGCTGATCCAAAGAGGTTATAAATAGAGGGCAAAATCCTTCTATTAAACATTTTTGCATCCAGTTCTTCTCTGCTCTTGCCGCCCTACCTAGTTCGATCTCCATAGTCTTGGACTGATAAAAAATTGTTATTGATTTTGATTCTTGCTAGAAGAATCAGATCTGATGTTGTGCTCACATCCCTTGCGTGATCCTTGCTGAATGATTGCAATTCTTGTTAAAGAATTGCTTTACTGATCCTGCGTCATCCTAAGCTGTGTCATATTCAGTGGAGGCGGGATTTGGTGACCTCTTTGGGCGTAAACACCTACGTTGGGAGCTACTTTCGTGGATTCCATATCAGGTATATCACTCTCTTAATCCTGGTTATAGATCTGGTCTGGTTTGTTTTAAGAATGAACCTTGAAAAATGCAGTTTTTCAAAATCAGGGAATAGGATTCCCGGAGGGTGAAAGAAAATTTTTGAAATTTCGCCTAGCCACCCTACATGGTTAGGCCATCCATACGATGGCTCTCCCTTCCCTTCAATAAGATCCATTGACATGCGTTGTGTTGTCGAGGAGATCGGAGATAGCTGGCTTGCTTCTAGAAAAAGGCTGCGTGGCACCTCGGCAGGTCGATGAGTGTGGCAAGCTGCTCGGGCCCCAGCCTCAGCTAAATGACCCGAGTTGCTCGAGATGACTTGGACTGCTGAGGTGTCCGAGGATGCTGAGATGTCGCCTAGTCATTACATCGCCCCATGTGTCATCATATCATTCGATGGGTCAAATCGACCCTCATTAATTGCCCCTACTCTCGATTCCAATGTGGCAAACTCGAAGCGGGAGTAATTTGTGAGTCAAAAAGAGGGTTGGCCCGGTCTTCGGTTCATCCTGAGTTTAACCTTCGGTTTGACCTGAGCGAGCCAATTGGTTCGACCTTAGGGGGAACGCACGGACGTCGCGTGAGAATTAAGCTCCGCGGGCATAAAAAACACACTCAACTGAATTTGGCCTCAGAATTCAAATCATCGCACCCCTAGGAGCCGTTGGATCCACTTGATCTCGACCGCTCATTGTCAGTTAAGACGGCTATAAATTGGGCTCTTGGGAACCCATTTACTTCATCTCATTTTGAGCTCTCGTGCGTCTGGAGGTCACAGAGCGTGTTGTTATCGGTGGTGTCGGTGTCGTCGGGTCGGCCTTTCCTTCTTTTAGGTAAGTCGTCTTCCTTTGCTCGTTTCATTTCTCTTTGCTTTCGTTCTTTCTAGTATGTCGAGTAGCGAGTCTAGTAGGGAGAGGGTTCAGTTCGGTCAAGCCGAGGAGGGCACCTTGGTCC